ATTGCCAAAAGTGTCGGGGTCGTGGCGGTGGAGCGCAGCCATGGAGTTCTCAATACGAAAGTATTTCTCCGTAAGGTCGTAAAAGCGAGTGAGAGAAACGTCATCCTCTGATTGCAACTCCTTCCACAGGTCTATCTGTGGACAAACTCCCGCTATGATGAGAGTTCGAACAGACTCTTCGGGAGTGTAAGCTACTTTATGGAGCTCTCTGTGGAATCTATCGATGTAAGATTGGAGGGATTCATCCCTCTCTTGCCTTATGTTGCTGAGATAACTCAAAGGCATTGAGAACTTCCTGTTTGCTTGGAAGTGTCTCAAGAATGTCGAGCTCATATGATTCCACAAGCTGATTGATCCCGCCGGGAGCGACCTAAACCACCGCTTGGCATGAGACGTAAGAGTCACTGCCAAGTATCAACATTTTGCCAAATTAGAAACTTGATGAAGTTCCATCAGGTCGTTGAATTCATATAAATGATCTTGCGGATCAGCATTTCCATCGAACGCCTGTATATCGGGTATTTTGAATCTGGACGGGAGAGGGGTGACTAACACAACAGGAGAAAAGGGAGACGCTTCTGCGACTTGCCCTAGCTTATTTTGCTGAGCTTTTAGCTGATCCAGAGCTCATTGTAGCTCCTCAATCTGAGGCAACGGAGCCATCTGGGGATTGCTTTCCCCCATGCGGGTTCAACCCTCGCAATTACGGTTAAGGAAAGTTTGGAGGTCAGATTCCTCCTCGCCTCAGCTAGCAGTTCTAGAAGCTCTCGACACATGCTGGCTAGAGCCATGTGATGGCGATGAATGGTCCGGGGAACCTTCCCGACCTTTGCTGTTGTACGAAATGACCCATGGACGGTAGGAACTTGTCGCGCGATGACGATCAAGGTCATCATTCTAGCGGTGATGGAAATCGCCCTGCCTCGCACTTTTGTGGGAGTTCTCGCGCGATGTGGCATGGGACAGCTCGAGATGTGACCTATCACTGAGTCTTTGCACCACGGGTATTCTACCTAGGGTGTGGTCAGTGTTTGTTGGTCCCTCGGGTCCTCTACGCCCGCTATTCGCCACTTGATTTCCCTTTCTTTGATGCGCTACAATGTGTGCGGCACGGGCTATCGTCATTTTCTGCACGTTCATGCGACCTATAGGCGTTTTTTATTTATTTGGGTGGTGCAACCCGATCCAAACAGTCCAACCTTTGGTTGACCATTTGGAGAGTATTGTTGAACCTCTCCAGGTAGCTGATGACGATTGGGTCAAGCCATGAGCTTGAAGGAATATTCCCCACGAGATTTTGCGGGACTAGGGGCACTTCAGAAGAAGTGTCCTCTTGCGCCTAAGGGATTTCTCCCTCACCACAGTTGGTTCGCTCAGATTCAAATCAGCGAGCCATTTACTGTTGTAGGACTGACTAGTTAGAGATTCTTCTGATGAAGGACAAATACAAAATCAAGTCCTCCTTCTAGCGCCAAACTGTTGATGCGTGATTTTGACACCAACTAAATGCACGTGTGAAATGATGAGCTGACCCAGAGAACACACGCGAATGGGGGTATGAGAATGGATAAAAGATGGAGAACGATGTTTAAAGTGGTTCGAATGCTTGAACAAGCGAGTCCTACGTCCACTGATGTTGTATTAATATATTGAGGTCAAGCACGTTCAGCGAGCTGACTTATAAGTGATTACAAAGAGAAAATAAGTATGATATTACAGAGAGAAATTAGCTAATCCCACAAACGGGAGAGGAGCCCTCTATTTATAGTGGGATGGATTGAGGTAATGATTACTAAATCAGGAAGTGTGTCAGATTTCCGTCCAAATCCTTCCTTGCGCCTTGTTATTCACCTGCTCGAGTAATTTACTCGATTCTCATAGGGATTGGACACGTGGATCACCTCCAGCCTTTCACCAGCCTGACGCGTACCTACTGCACTAGCAAGACCACACCTCGTGCGTCAGCACGCAACGTGGCTACACCTGAACGGCACCTGGACTTACCTAAGCTCTGACCACTTGCGCTGACAAGGCTCTGTGTCAGCCCTACTTTTCCAGGTATAACATACACAAAATAAATAAAAACAAAAAAAAACCTTCCCAGCGTCAACTCTAGTTTATTGTATAAAAACGGCAACCATACCTTCTCTTTTATAACAAAAACATTTATGATAAAAACTGTTGAATATTTTTGTCAAACTTATGTTGTATGTGGGCACATTGAAGTCAGACATATGCATGTTGCATTTCATCTCGCATTTTACTTCGTGTGTGTGTACATTTTTCTTTTGTGCTAGCATCGCATGTCTGACTTACTTTACACAAATTGCATTTTTTACTTAACAACTAAGATATTTTTATTGCATCTTTTGTGCTGTCATTTGGACCACTTACAAGTTTCCCAATACCCTTTAGTGGTCTAGGGAAAATCAGAATTTTTTCCTTTTTGATTGTAGTCCCAAAATTTTGGTTGTGGTCCCAAAAGATAGATGGAATCTTTCCCATATTAGGGAGAGACACAAAGGGAAAGGGAGGGGCATCCAGAACTAAGAGATAAGAAGATAGCACTATAGTACAAGATACAGAAAGAGAAGTCGACAGCGGCAGGGGAGACACTAGAATAAGAGATCGACAGTAGGGGCCGCTCTTTTCTCAATTAGACCAATATATGTCAACCCTTGTTTGCTGACTTGCCAAGAATTGGGGAGCACAAAATTGGCCTTTATCATTCTTTCTCATATGTAAAGCCAACCTTTGATATTGTATTTGTTTGTACTATGATTCTTTTTGCACATGTGACGTCTGTCTTATATTATCTTGCCCATCGAGTTTTATCTCTTTCATGGTTTTTGTGTGAGTTTTCTCTTTATAGGTGTCTGCCTCTCCTCTTATGGTCCTGCAAAATTGGTGAGCTTTTGTTTGTGGTCCCAACAAAAGATAAAAGAGATTGTTTGCTACTTGTCTTAAAGAGATTGGTCAAGCAAGGATTATTTAAACCCTTCTTCTTCTTCCTTGCATCTTTGAACCTGGTTTTTCATTGTTTAGTTCTCTGAAATTTTAGAGAGTATTTCAATCAGGTTCCCTTCTTTGTTTATGGGCTTTTGTCCATTCTTTGATGATCATATCTTAGCTTGTTAATGAGTATTTATTTGGAACATAATTCCTTTACTGTGAGCTAAAAGGAAGTTCATCTTCTTCCTCGTTTGTTTTCTTTTTGAACCTGCATATCATTTTTGTTTGTGCTCTGAAATTTTCAGAGAGTTTATTCCTTGACAGGTTTCATGTGTGGTTTAATGCTTAAATCATTTTGTTCATCTTTGTTTATTGTTTGTTGCTGCTGGAACTTGGTTCCTATGCTAAGAGCTTGAAAGGAGTTCAAATCATGGAAGTTGGAGGTGTTCTTCGGCGAGTGAAGCTTGGGTGGAGCTCAAGCGTTGTCCGAGAGTGTTCCTAGTGTGGAGTGATCCTAAAAGCGACAAAGCATTAGAGATTCAAAGGGTGGTGTTTAGTGTAATGTAGAACAGAAAGTTCTCTTTGTTGTAGCTAAAATCAACTCTAAGTGATATCTTGTAATGTTTGTTGTTATAGTGGATTAGTTTCGATCTGGATGAAGTCCCATGGATGTAGGCTACGAGTGGTTTTAGCCGAACCATGTATATGCTTGTGTGCTTTATCTTTACTACTTGTGGTTGTTGATTCATGCTTAACTTGATAACCATTAATTAACTTGATAAAATCTTCCGCTACACTTTAAAAATGGGTATCTAACATTGAATAGAGTTCACCAACTCTAACAAAAACAACCAAGTCATCCCGACAAATAACGGCATGGAGAGAGAAGCCACGCACTGCTAAGGCTAGATTTAGGTCAGCCTATGCTAGCAAAACTGCATTACCTGAGCCTGATCACAATAGGCAATCAATGGAACTCTATTAAATCTTCCTTTTTCTTCAAAAGAACAAAGACTTCAATATTTAAAATATAAGCTAAAGAACAGGGTCGTCTCAAGAACATTTGTGACCCTAGACAAGAGTTACTTTGGAGCTCTTTTAATAATATAAGTATATATTAAAAAATTATTTCAAATTTATTTTTCTTACCTTTTGAGATGCAAAATCACTAATTAAATTTTTATATTCAAGTTTAGAAACCAAATTTTTTTTCAATTGATAATATAGCCCAATTACCAAATCTTTCTTATGAGGGCGAGAGGTGGACGGCCGACTACCGGGATCAGGTAAGTGAGGGGTTTTGGGGAGGGGCCTGAGGGGACGAAGATGTTGGTGTCGGGGAAGATCAACGACAGTGGATACGTGCCGAAACTGTAGCACGCAGTGAAGAATGAAAATGGGCTGCGAAAATCAACAAAAATCGACCAAATTGGGGGTTGTCAAGGCTGTGAAAACGTTTCGGAAATGATTAAGTGATGAATCCGATCAATTTTGGTGAGAAAATTGACCGGAATCATCACTTCAATGCCAACAGTGACACTATGGCGGTGTAGAAGGGTGGAGATGCAATGTTTTCATCATTTTAGGGATCGAATGGGTGTTTTGAAATTTTAGACATTTAAATAACTAGTTTAGTTAATTTATGGGTGTGAATGGAAAATATGAAACATGGTTTTTTTGTAAATTTTTGTAAAAAAAAAGTATAATGAATTTGGGCTTTTCTGGCTTTTTGGGGGCCCTTTGGACCAATTTTGATAAAAAATTATAAACTTTTTTAGACCCAATAGTATTTCTGTAAATCTATTTAAAATAATTTTGGAGGCCCTAGGCAGCTGCCTTACCTGCCTGCCCCTTGGGCCGGCCCTGCTGAAGAACACTAAAATTTAGACGTGCATTTCTCATATTATTATACCAAACACATCGCAAAAATCATTTAACATAAAAAGGATCTTTCCCGGCCCCATTACAACTTTATTGAAGATATCGCAGATGGCGGAAAGAACTGAAAAATTGAATGTCAACAAATAAACAAACGAGACAAAATCAAGTATAACAGACGATCATCTCCCTTAGAACAATTCCTTCTTGATATTGCATTCTTTAGGGAGACCGTGGGGAAATCGTTTATAATCTGTGCAATAATTGTATATCATGTAGTTTTTCTGCACCCATTTAATCTGTCCTCTCCCTGCAAACCCGAGCTTTTCCCAGTACCAGACGCCTTTAGCATGCCAATTTGAAAATGGAATATTAACATTATCATTATTTGAATCGCAAGAAGAATATTGTCCATAAGTCCAAATACAAGCATTGTCGTCATTGAAATTTGTGTAGGAAGCAGTGAAGGGTGCCTGGCTCCAATCTGTCTTCACAAGTCCTCCTCTTGTCGCCCAGTCATCGGCATTCCAAAGGGTTGAGTAAATTCTCATTGGCTGGTGCTTAGGGAACGGAATGCCATAAGACTCCATGTTCTCGAATTCTCTAATGGGAATGTCATCTACATAGAAGCTGAAACAAAAGGAATCAGAGGGGTTAGACTCCAATATTAATATTGGATACATATAAGAAATTCTTAAAGTGCTTATGTCCTGAAGTTTTTAATATACAGATTAGTGATTAGTCATTGACTTTTGATTTCGCAATTGGTGAATGTAGCGACTAGTCGTTCACCTTTGATTCGTATGTTAAAAACCTTCTTGAAGGTTTTAATATATGGATCAAAGGTTAGTGACTAGTCATTGACTTTTGATTTTGCAGTTTGTGAATGTAGCGATCAGTCATTCACTTTTGATTCGTATGTTAAAAACCTTCAGAACGTTGACATTAAAAATTGACTTTATATCTTAGTACTTACACAATCCGTTCAGGGTTCCAAAGAATGGAGTAGGTGTGAAAATCTTCAGTGGGATCAAACCATAGGTAGAATTGTTGCTCTCTGTTGCCTTTGCCTTGGCAAAACACATTTGTGTGAAGAATGTAAGGTTCACCAGTTACGTTTCCCAAGAATTCAAAGTCTATCTCATCCCAGTTTGCTCCTTTTGAGGATAGCTGCAAAATAATAGAAGAATCCCATTGCTCATTATTAATGAAACTGAAATTGAAATTGAGAAAGGTTACTATAATAAAATACAGAATACATACATAGTAAGCAGTGACCGTTCCCGCAGAATTTCCAGGGACAAGCTTAATCTGCATATCAATCTTTCCGAAAAGATATTCATTCTTGGATTGGAAGCCTGAGCCAGACTCTTTATCAAGATTCAGAGTAAGAACTTGGCCATAGTTGAGGAACTTAGCTTTGTTGTATCCCCATACGATATCAAAATCTTGGTGGAAGTTGCCGGCGGATGAAACCATCAAAAGGCTAGCTAGTATTGATATAAGCAGCCCGGCTGGCTACACTTGAAGGAGGAGATGCCATTGCTAATATTTGATATATTATGTTAAGTAAAAGATGCTCAGAATCTTCCGATGGAATGAATTTGTTTGAAGATATGAGGAATTTATAAAGAAAGAAGAATGTTAGAGAGAAGATGACAGGTTGTAAGGCTTGTTAGCTGGTAAGCAAAAGCGATGATGAGTTCTAAACATGTCAGTGAATAAGCTAGTGGGCTACCATGAACAAAAATTATTAACACAGCCAGGCAAAGCTGCCGTCCCAATAGGCTCTGCCAGATACGAATTTTCACACGGTTTTGGAGAGAAAAGTATACACATGGTTTACTCTTGCCTTTGTAATGAGTATAATTCATTTGACCTGAAGAATGGACTGTTTCATAAGTCCAAGGTCATCTGCTTTTATTTATTATTCTTTTTATTTTTTTAATGAATTTTTCCGATACCTAACTAGACTTGTTTTTCTTTTTTATTTGTGTTTCCCTCAAAATGAACTTTAACATACCAAAAAAAGAATTAAATCAAAAGAAATCAAAATTTTTAACCAATTTGTCGTACTTTGATCGTGAAAAACTGAACTTGTTAGGTAGGTTTGTAGTCAGCGAGGAGCTGTTGAAGGCCGGACAAAAAGTTTTGAATTTATGGAGAAATATATTATTTCATCTCTAAATTTTTTTTTTTTTTTTTTTTTTTTTTAATCCTCTTCATTCCCTCAACTTGACTCTTTAGCCCACAATGCAACTTTTTAAATCTATTTTGTACTTTTGGGTTAAGTGTATACTGCCTAAAAACTTAAGCTGACTTATATTTTAGTTTAAAAGATCTTATGCAACTTGGGTTAAATATTTATATTATCCAGTTGAAATGTTAAAGAAAAAATATATTATATATCACTAAGTATAATGTTTTTACAACCAAAGAATTTGAGTATGTCTTTAGACAAAAAGTGTTGGGGGAATAATTAGATGTAACTAAAATTATATGTAGATGAGCTTAGAGATCCTGAGAAAGAAGTGATGGAGTTTCTTACTATTTTCTTGCGTTTTCTCTCAATAATTTTAGCCAATATATAATTACCTTTAATTGCCCCCTTTTTTTTCATAAAGCCACAATTATATTTAAAAGATTGAGGTAATTATGTAGGGTTATTAATCCTCTAATTACACCAAAATATTATTCGGGTGAAATCTAGGCTTCATTTGGTTCAAGATGGAATACTACTCTTAGTATTCCCAAAAAGTTAAACAGTAAAATATCCAAAACTCTCATTTTTTGGATTATTTTCAATATTATTAATTTTTTTAAACCCTCTAAATTTGTTAATTAATTAAATACCCCTAAATATTTTTTTTAAATTACAAAAAAAACACCAACAATCCACATTTACCAGATTCCGGCCACCACCGCCGGAAAATGGCGGAATCTGGTAGGATGGCGCACTACGGCTGAATTGGCGGGTAGTGCGCCGATCAGCCTTTTCCGGCCAGATCCACGGTGGATCTGGCCAGAAAAGGCCAGATCTAAGGCCAAAGTCTGCGCGTTGACGGCCAGATCTTTGGCATAACAGTCGGTCACGATGGCCAAAAACGGTCGTCGTTGACCATCAACGACGACCATTTGTTGGCCGTCGTTGAGAGCAAATATGGCCAGATCTGGCCATAGATCTGGCCTTTGCCGGCCAGATCCACGTGGATCTGGTTGGAAAAGGCCATATGCGGCGCATGCCGGCAAGATCCAACCGGTACTGAGCCCATAAGGTGACTCCGGCCACCTTCGGTGGTGGTGGTGGCGGCTGGGGGGGTTTGAGGGGGGGTTAGGGGTGTTTTTGTTAACTTTAATGTTTTATTATAGGGGGTATTTTGTAAAAAAACAAACATAAGGGGTATTTATAATTTATAAATACATCGTAATACGCCCAATTCAACTTTTTTTTAACTTTTTTCAAAAAACGTCTCCCAAAACCCTCAAATTTTGAACCAAACGAAGCCCTAGTTCTAAAAATAGTTTATAAAGCATGTCTTTATTTATACTACTTTGTTTGCATTCTTGTTACTGAAAATTGATATCATTTGAGTTTTCTTGCCGAGTAAACGACTTTTCCTCACCAAGGTTTGCCTTTTCCCACTCAAAAAATTTCAAATACAACTTTTTTATCTAAAGTTAATATTTTGTTACTACCTCAAACTCATTACGACCAATACCGGTGGCTAAAATTCTCTCTATTGGAAAAGTGCATAAGGCAAACCGTAGGTTGGAAAATGTTGTTTACTCTTTTCTGCCGAGTGTTTGTAGTTGTTCGAAAAGAATCAATTTACAGTTTTTGTATTTCTTAAACTTGTTTGAACAAATAACATTTTGCTAGGTAGCTCAATTTTTTCCCCCCTTTCTATTTCTTAATTAATTTCCTTGTGCTCAAAAAAAAAAAAAAAAAAAAAAAAGGAACCCTCTAGTTGGCTTCATCACAATGTGATGATCACTATTTCCATCAATTAATTTTGCTATATGAAAAAAGGATTATGCATATGCACCTTTAATAAATACAGGATAAAAAATTCAGTTTTGGACATCAAAGTGTAATAGTCAACAAATAAAAGAGATTACAATGTAGAAAATGATTTTACACAGTTACATTTAAGAAAGCCAAAACAATAATTGAAATTTTTGGAACAAAATCAATATATGTATATAAAAAATAAAAAAACTTTGTGGAACTTGGACACCCCAAGTCCATGAATAGCTGCCCTGCCCTTAAAACTAGTCCTCCTTGATATTGCATTCTTGAGGAGGACCGTAGGGAAATCGCTTGTAATCTGTGCAATAATTGTAAATCAGTAGTTTTTCTGCACCATTTCATCTGTCCTCGCCTGCGAACCCGAGCTTTTCCCAGTACCACGCACCCTTAGCATGCCAATTTGAGAATGGGATATTAACATTATCATTATGAATCGCAAGAAGAATATTGTCCATAACTCCAAACACAAGAGATTGTCGTCATTGAAATTTGTGTAGGAAGCAGTGAAGGGTGCCTGACTCCAATCTGTCTTCACAAGTCTCTCGTGCGCCCAGTCATCGGCATTCCAAAGGGTGATGTAAATTCTCATGGGGTGGTGTTAGGGAAGGGAATGCCATAAGACTCATGTTCTCAATTCTCTAATGGGAATGTCATCTACATAGAAGCTGAAGCACAAGGAATCGAGGGATTAGACTCCCATATTAATGTCCAATATATATGAAAATTTTCAGGTATGGATATCCTGAGTTTTTAAAATGCAGACCTAAAGTTAATGACCGTCGATGGCTTTTAATTTTGCAAATTGTGAAGGTATAATGACCAGTCCTTCACCTTTGACCCACAAATTGAAAACTTTCAGGACGACCATACTAAAGATTGACTGTATATGTAAGTACTTACACAATGCGTTCAGGGTTCCAAAGGATGGAGTAGGTTTGAAAATCTTCGGTGGGTCAAACCAGAGATAGAATTGTTGCTCTCTATTGCCTTTGCCTTGGCAGAACACATGTGTGAAGAATGTAAGGTTCACCAGTTACGTTTCCCAAGAATTCAAAGTCTATCTCATCCCAATTCGCCCTTTTGAGGACAGCTGTAAATTAACACATGCAAAACAATAGAAGAATCACCATTAGTGAATGAATTAATAATAAACTTGAAAATGAGAAGGTGACTATCATAAAATACGGAAGACATACATAGTAAGCTGTGACCGTGCCAGCGGAATTTCCAGGGACAAGTTTGATTGCATATCAATCTTTCCGAAAGATATTCATTCTTGGATTGGAAGCCTGAGCCAGACTCTTTGTCAAGATTCAGAGTGAGCATCTGGCCATAGTAAGCACCTTAGCTTTGTTGTATCCCCATACAATATCAAACTCTGGTGGAAGTTCCCGGCGGATGAGGCTATCAAAGGCTAGCTAGTATTGATATAAGCAGTCCGCAGCTGCTATACTTGAAGGAGGAGACGCCATTGATAAAATTCGAAATATTATGTTTAGAATGCTTTGATGGAATGAAATTGTTTGGAGGAATGAGAATAATTATATAGGAAGATGACACGTTGTAAGGCTCGTTAGGTGAGCCAAAAGGCGTTGAGTTATAAACATACATTGTTAAAGCTATAGTGGGCTACCATGAACATGTAATTCATTTGTTTTTAATTTATATTTCGGGTTCTATGTTAAGAATACTTTTTTTTCATAATCAAAGTCAACTATTTTCATTTTTGTTCTTGTTAATTTGTTTTAATTTATATTTTCAGGTTTGTATGTAAGAGTACTTTTTTTTTTTTTTTTTAGAGAAAAAAAAAAACCAACTACACCAGATAAATTTTACTAAGAAGGAATAAAAAATATTCAACCATCTCGATTATATATTAGACTTAAATATTATTTTAAGTCTTTATCATTAACATAAGTTTCTAAATCAAGGTTTATTTAACATAATACAAGTTCTACGAAAAAAAAAAAAAAAGGATGTAGATGAATTATATTCCTTAAGTAAAATAGCATGTTTATTTTACATAGTTAAAATTTTCTTAAGTGTTCAAAAAGATTGAGAGATATATTGTTGTAAAAAAAATTAATTACGCATAACTGAATGAACTTTGCACCCAAATATCATCTTATAACCAAAAACCCCAACAACAACAGCCCCTTGGTCAAAACGAGAACTCATGTTGGGTTCGCCATAGAACAATGGGCGTAGCCCACCCAAACAGTCGGTCTGTTTGGAACAAAACTTCGCCCAAGTTTAACCTAGCCCACCATATATGGACCACCTTAAGTGTAAACCAACTTTTCTTCTATTT